CGCCTGCAGCGCTGCACGCTCGCTCGCCGCGCTGCAAGCTATTCCCCTCGGAGAGGTGGAGTACTTGCCGCGGCAGCGCTGTGAATCCGCGAGTGTAGCCAAGCTGAGTAGTAGATACTTTATGTGAAAAGAATAAACTGGTGTGGTGAGATAGAAAATGATTCCCCAAACTGCCCTCTGCTTACTCAAAGTACTGCATTGAAAACACTGAGGTTTGGGGGATTTATGTTTCTTCCTCTCTGGCTTTCAGAATTTCAAAGTCATCATGTAATACTTGAAACTATAATACAAGCTATTGAGTTGGCTATTGGCATGACCTTACTGGTCAATTTTCTTAATGTCCAAGGTATTTACAGGATTCTGTTAGATATACTGTGTATTCACCCACAAAAGCTTATGCTCCAATACGTCTGTTAGTCTGTAAGGCGCCACAAGACTCTTTGTTGCTTTTTACAGATCCAGACTAACGTGGCTACCCCTCTGATACTTAGATATACTGGGTATAATTCATATTGAGTTTTAAAAAAAACTGTTTTTGCTTGTCTGTGTACTTAGATATTTAAATATGAACTGAATAAATGTTAAATGAAAAAAGCTCAGATGAAGAGGAAAGAAATATTTTTTTCTACTCCTACCTCCAATTTAAGGAAAAATTAAAATGGTGTGTGGTGTTTCATGTGTTTAGGTGGCAGCCAATACACACATCCCTCCAGACTATCTTCTGAAAATCTGTGAGAGAATTGGACCCCTCTTAGACAAAGAGATCCCACAGAGTGTTCTTGGAGTGCAGACTTTACTAGGTGTAGGACGGCAGTCTTTGCTAAGGGCAGCAAAAGGTAAGATTTAAAGTCCACGTAATCACAACTAATTTAAACAGTTAAGAATGATTAATATTTAATGCAAAGTATCTTTTAAGTTTGGTGTCTGAGGCGTTTGCATACTTGTGTGAGCACTCCTCATGCTACTTTCCATGGTCAGTTTATAATAATTATAATTATATAATAATTAATGGAGATATCCCATATCTCCTAGAACTGGAAGGGACCTTGAAAGGTCATCAAGTCCAGCCCCCTGCCTTCACTAGCAGGACCAAGTACTGATTTTGCCCCAGATCCCCAAGTGGCCCCCTCAAGGATTGAACTCACAACCCTGGGTTAGCAGGCCAATGCTCAAACCACTGAGCTATCCCTCCCAGTTTCTATATTCTAGTTACAGAATTGCTAAAACACAATCACTAGGAGAAAGTTGGGTCTTCTCTAAGGCCAGGATTACGCTAGAAACCGTTTGCTGGTACAGTATAGCTATAATGGCAAACCATCCAAGTGTAGATGCAGCTTATACTGGCAAAAAAGTGCATTCACTGATGAGGCTTATGTTGGTTCTAGAAGCAAAATATACTGTACTGGCAAAAGCCTTTTTATACCAATATAGCTGTGTTTACACTTGGAGTTCTGACAGTACAATGTTGCAAAAAACCCATTGCCCCTAAACAGCACCTGCAAAAGGCGCACTGGGCTGAGGCTATGTCTACAGTAGCACTTTTGTCGGTCAGGGGTGTGGAAAAAAACCCTCCTCCCAACCGACATAAGTTTCACCAACAAAAGCGCCAGTGTAGACAGCACTATGTTGGCGTAGAGCTGCTTAAATGGGAGATCTTATAGGAGTGCAGCTGTAGCAGTACATCTGTGCCACTGTAAGGTCTGTAGTGTAGACGTAGCCTAAAGTTGGTAGGAGGTGTAGAAAAGGGATGTGTGCAATATCCAAACTGGACATAGGGGCCATTGCTTTCCTTGTAAGCCATCAGCTATTGTTATCCTGAGGAATGGGAGTCTTGAGATGTTGCCAGCAATTTAATTATATCCCAGACTTTAGGTTACTTTAATATGTTGTGAAAAAAACAAACCATAAACTTCGCATCCAAACCCCACCATATACTTGTAAATTTAAGGTGCTATAGTTCAACATACAATAACCTATGAGGTAGAGCTTTTCTTGGGAGAGGATACACATTGCCACTCAGCACTATGCAGTCATCCCAAGCAAGTGTCCATAAAACCTTTATTCCATACCAGCTTTTAGTCTGTCTATGCATATGTGGGACAGAAAAATTATTTTAGAAATATTCAGTTATTTTAAAAGACGTTGCTGAAACAGTGTTTAGTATCCCTGTTCATGTAAAACTAGGTAGTTAGTTTTGAATGTACATTGCTAGATACTTTACTTTGAATGTAACTGTGTAACACTTAGAAGGAGAAGAAATGAATAAATGTAAGACAGCTGTAAAAATAACATGTAATACCTTTTTCTTATATCTAAAAATGTCATAAAACTTGAAGAGCTGTATCTGTTCCTACAAGGGAGTGTTGGGTCCCACTGGGAAGCTGGGAGTCTCCTCTTTCATTTGGATGTTGTGCCTGAGGGTAGCCCTGCTAAACCATGGGATATTACTTTAAAATTGTGCCATTTTTAGGTACAGAAAAGCTTAATTTTGCCTGATGTGAGCCCTTGGCAGGTGTAATGTGATGGAGAAATTCCATACTTATAGGGAGAAGAAGAAAACATTTCTGTGGCAGATTGATAAAACAAACAAAAAAACAATGGCTGTTTGCAAACCCCTATTCCAGTTTAAATGTTAGAATAAATCCCAGGGCAGATGATTACTGGGCAGAGCTCAGATGAGTCAGTCAGAGATATAGGATAACTTGAAGATCAGTGTGATGAATTTGTATGTATTTGACTTTCTGTATAGAGAAAGTATATTGGCCTTGTGCCGCTTGGTGGGTAAACAGTATCTTTGTTCTAAGAAGTAGTTGTTCTTTCCAGAATGACACTTTTATGGATCTTTTAAAGTTGCATTTGAGTAGTCTAGATAGTGACAGAAAATAGAGAGCTCACACCTTTGTTCTAGAAAGCTTAAGTTGCACTTCTATATATAAGTATTACAATAAGAGAAAGCTATAGTAGAATTTGGGTTGTACTTAAATATTCCATCAGGGTTTTGCCTGGATTTGGACACTCCGTGTTCATAGATTCAATGGTGATGCATGAGTCCATCCGTCAGTGGCATTAGCCTTCTGCTCCACAGCCCTTCCTCATCATAGAAGATCATTTCTCTCCTTCCAGATGGCCGCTAATGGAAAATGCCCAGCTCTGATTTCTGAGGCACTTTGAGTAGGCTCAGAAAACGCACTATTGTTTCCATTAGAGGGAAGGCTGTCTGAGGCCAACTGGCAGCAAAGTAGCTGGAGAACCTTAAAAGAAAATGGCCTTAATTTTAAAAACAATGTTTTAAAAGAGAGAGAATGTGGAAAGCACATTACCACCAATTAAAGGAAACCAGATTTATTAAAACAAAATTCTTACTCACTCCCATCCCAAGTATAAAGTATTTGTGTGTACTGTCTCCCAAATGTATAATACACTGGGACTTTCTTAATGCAAATTAAGATGAAAAGTTGAGATTTTTAATTTTTAGTGTTCCTTCCTCATGTGAAGTTTATGAAATGTTGTTATTACACTGGTAATTATATGTACTCCTGCACTCTCGCAGTTTCCCCCCCTCCCCAATCAAATTTAGACTTTCTAAACCTGAAAAGCCAAGTAAATAAAGAGAGAATTTGAAAATGTTTCTAAGACTTTATCACATAGTAAATACAAATCAGAGGTTCGTTATCATTAGTTTGTCTGAAATCTGACTCTTTAAAATGATTCAGCTGCATTTTATGAAAACTGTGATTCTCTGTAGCCAGGACATACTAGAAAGTAAAGGGCTGCTGAGTTTTTGGTGCTATCAGTATTTGGACAAATAGGTCAGTTGAATGCAGAACCCACCTCTGCAGCTTTTTTATTTTTTTTGATCAACTGTTAATTTCATTGATCTAGACTGCAGGCATACGCTATGGAAGGGATCTGCATTTGCAGCTCTTCACAGAGGCCGACCTCCCGAACTACCTGTAAATTATGGGAAGCCACCAAATGTGGGTAAGTAATATCCCATTAAAATATGAAGTGTTTTGAATTTTATTCGTATCTTTATTAGCTTTTTCAATTGAAACTTTTGTTATTAATCCAGATGCTACTTTAGGTTTTCATTTACATTTTTTGATAAGTTTCAAGATGAACTCATCCCCAAAGCTTTTAATTTATTCTATAAGTGTTTTGCTTCTTCCATAAGACTTTTTCATATGCTCTCTTGCTTTCTCATTTTTAAATCTGTGTGTGCATGCCTATATATACATAAATTATATTATTGCCCCTCTGCCAAGTGGTGGTGGATGTCAGAGCCTGACTTGTGAGCATCCCTTTGGAGGAGAAATCAGTGATATGAAATCTGGATATGTTCTTGTTTATTTAACCTATATATGACAGTCTTTTCAACAGAGTTGGTCAGAAACAGCATACAGGCAATTCCTTCTTCCAGGAATCTCAGCCAAAACACCAGTGCTTGGTTCTTGGGGAACACTTCTGCCTCAAGGATTGATTAGAGAGATTAAGACAGAGCGAACTGCTTGTCACAAAAAGAAATTGAATCAGAAAACTAAGAACCCAAGCGCATTGTGTCAGTCTGAACAGCGCACACATGTTAAGGAAAAATAACTTGTAAGACTATGTATAATAGCACCAACCGGTGATTCCCACCATAACTATAAGACTTGTAGACATTGAACTGTTTAAGCTCTTTTCTACATCAGAGTGCTTTATTAGGTATACAGCTATAGTCATATTGGTATATTTCCCCCCCTCCCCCCAGTAAAGATGCTTTCATTCTGATATAAACATTCCTTTTGTTGGTTTAGTACAAACGCCTTCCCAAGTGATTTAAAATAAACTAAAATAACAAAAGGAATGCTTATACCAATACAAACACTAAACCCTAATGTGGACACTCTTATTGTGATATAACTACATGGATTTACATTTACCGTTAGTCTGTGCTGAAAAAAAAACTCCTGTAGACAAGGGCTAAAACTTAAACTAGCCATTGTTACAGCAAAGAAACCAACTTGATGGCTTGCCGGGGGACAAGCAGCTGCCCTCTGCGTACACCTTCTTTGTTATTTTATTATTTTATTTTTCAGATGGGCACACACATGCACACTTTTTTGTTGTCTACTGAGGAATCTGTTTGCTGTCACCCTCACTTCTCTCAAATAGAGCAAGTTGACAAATGAAACAGGGAAGACTTTCTAAGTTTCTTTAGCATCCAGTCCAATTATTGTTGTTAATTTAAAATATTCAAAAAAAAAGAGTTTTTTCTTTTTTGTCTCTTTCTTCCTGCTATCCCTGCCTTAGCCTTTTTGGAAATTTTCCCCTTCACCTTCTTAGTGGGTTTCTCTATCTCTACCCAAAGCTAGGGTCCAAAGCTAGGACCTTCCCATCTGGGATTATTTTGATTTTCTTCTTCATGTTGAGGATGCTTATTTTTTTGTTCCTACTGTCCCCATTCCATTTTTTGTGTTTCTGGTCTCAGTCTCAACCTTTTTCCTCCTTTATTTCCTAAAATCAACATTTGCTGGGAATGAAACTAACACAACTTACTTGGTTCAGCATTGTGACTGAAATCCCTCGGTGTCACTCTGCACAAGATGTGTGTTACATAAGTAACAGAATGACAGAATTGTAGTAATAATGAGACAAGGCAGTGAGGTGATATCTTGTATTGGACCAACTTCTGTTGGTGGGAGAGCGAGAGATGCTTTCGAGTTTACACTTGAAGAAGAGCTCTGTGTAAACTCGAAAGCTTCTCTCTCACCAACAGAAGTTGGTCCAATACAAGATATCACCTCACCGCCTCGTCTCTCTAATATCCTGACAAATAATATGCAACAATGTAACACTTGTAAATTTTCCTTCTGTTGGCTAATAACTCATGTGATCCTGATAGTTAGAGGTCACAAAGGGATTATGGCTTTGTATTACATGATTACTTCTCTCCATTTATTCTTTTAAACTAGCCTAGTAATGATAAAGCAACAGTTGTGTTAATGGACTGTTAATGGTCTGATCTTAATCATTAACATACAACTTTTATTGATGGAAATAGAAGTTATACATATGTAAAGGATTCTGGATCACAACCTTAATTAGGTGATTCAGCCAATCAAAATACAGCTTGTTTTGGATAATTTGTATTACCATTCATTAACTATAGTTAGGCTCAAAAGTTTGATCTGTTTTTTTCATGGCTGTTATGTGAAAGAGCTATATGTTACCTCTGTGACATAACAGTTGTAAAATGACTTTACGATGGTAAAGAGCAGAATAGTTTTCTGTTTTTTATGGGTAATAATTCTTTGCATCCTTACTGCTTCATCTCTTGTCACTTCTGAACCCACCAAGATAAAACTGTGATGGTAGAAGCAGCTGTTATGTACATTTTCATTTATTGTATAAATATTAATATGTATGGTTACAACTTAAAAGGTCTTTCCTGCTTTCCATATGTATGCATAACTGCTGTTAGGGGAGACAGGAAACTTAGTGTACAGGTATATGTAAAAAACACACTCCCTAAAACTTGGTTATAGTTGAACTATATGGTCACTTTGGGATATGATTTCACAACAATTCCTACTCCTTCCATTTCTGAACTATTGTCCGAAGTCTCCTCTTGTATATAATAGGTTGTCTTGGGTATGATAGGCTGTAAGGTTTTTAAAGATGTCTTATTGCATGTTTGTTAAGTACCAAGCAAACTTATAATGCTGTTCTCGGAGCATTCATTGAGTAATCTGCCATTCTTAATATTTAAATAGTTAAAAATTTTGTTGCTTAGAAGGCAAGATAAGTGTCAGTGTTACATACTTTGTAGAATCGGTTAAATTCTGGTAAACAAGAAGGTTAATATTTTAAACCTGAAATGTTAAACTCCTGATTGCCGCTGTGACAGGTGGAGATGCTGCAGAATAAACATTTCATCTTAAAATTAACAAATTCCCCTTCCCTCCATATCCCCCTATTTTTTTATATATATAATATGAACTCATGTATTTCTGTCTTAGACAGCGGGAAACAGCTCAAAGTGAACTGGGGTACTTCACAGATCTTTTAAATAATAAGTTAATTCTGAAGCCTAATGTTGCTTTAAGTGTTATTTTTCCAGTAACATAGGCACATAATTGTTTGGTTTGTTTATGAAATTATTGTGGTTGTGCGTACAAATGATTTACACTCTAAGATAAATAAGCAAAGGGCAGAAATAGCAGGTGTAAAAGTGTCTGATATTTTTCCCTCAGTGAGTAATATTGACTTCAGTAGTAACTTAACTAAGGACTTGAGTATGCAAAATTTTACTAACCGATATGATGCTACTTCTATTGGACTGCTCATGGTTATCTCCTCATCCTTAGGTTGTGTGCTGCACAGCACCTAGATCCTTTCCCTCCAGGTCAGGGGATTTGTGGGGAGTGAGGAATGATCATCATTTCCCTCCCCTCCAACAAACACTCAACCTACAACTAGGAGAGCTTGGGGAGGAAATGCAGTAAGAGTACTGGTATGCAGTGCAGTTGTGTGCTTCTACACAGACTGAGTGTGTTAGGAAACTCTTTGGGACAGGAGGAGGATGTGTCTGGGGAAACTACCTATCCATAAAAGAAGAACTTTGTCATATCAATGACTATGAAGGCTACAATGCTCTATTCTTACAGAAGCTGTGCCAAGTTCAGCTCCTTTTTTTGGCCATATGCACAGTCCACAAAAATATTTTATAAATATTTCACTATACAAATAATGTACTGAAGGCAATTATTCCCCAACTCAGAGCCCAATTCCCTTGTGTGTGTTGTTCCTAGTCTTCTTGCTAAATCAGGCCTTCTGCTTGTGCTAGCTAGCCATGCAGGTTTCATGTCTCCATATACAACTCCATATGCCCAGATTATGAAATTACAGTGCTTACATGAAAAGAATAAATATTAATGTGGTGACAAAGCACCACACCTAGTATCGGAGACATGTGTATATGGTGCTGACATTGGCGTTCATGTTCTGTGGCTCACGTTTTCAGTTCTCCACCCATAAGGAAGGGATCTAAAGTAGTTCAAGCATTTGTACAATTGAGCAACTGTTTTTCTGTTTTCAGATTTTTGTGTTTCAGCCGTTAACTCTCAATTTCTTGGGTGTGTATTTTTTTTTTTTAAATTGTGTTTTATTTAAATAACATGCTTGTTGGGAATTTTACACTTAAGTTACTAACGTGTGTTCATGGCTTGGACTCTAGTTTACGTATTTGTCTGGGAATTGGAGTAATGTAAGAGTGTGTGTGTGTGTATATATATCTATGCATTGAGGGGGTGGAGCTAGCTGTCAGGGAAAAGCAGGAGAACAGCCACACCTAAAGCATGCTCCTCTAGTTTATAGACAGATTTTTCAGATGGAAAGTTCATCCAAAGTTAATGCTGTTCCTTGATAAGGTGAGGAGGGTTAATATACCCTGTGGATCAGGGAATTCAGTGCCTGCACAGCCATAGAGCTAGCTGTGCTGCCTTTGGGTGGGAGAGGAGAGCTAGGACATTCAACAGATGGGTTGGCTTCCCCTTGGGATGTCCCAACGTCTATGAGTTGGAGTATAAATTCTCCATGGATCTACAAGCTTCATGCACGAGGGAAGATGCATTCTGGATTCCTGCTCTGAGAGAAGAATCCTCTCCTTCCTGAGGGGAGAATAACTCAGGTTATCTGTGGCATTAAACAATTGATATTTTTGGGAGCATGGATCCCAATGTGTAAATTAATATTATGGCTGCAAATGGCAGTAAATAACAAGAAGATTTGCTGGCACTTATATGTCTAAGTGATGAATCATTTAAGCAGCTAGAAATTAAGCTCTTGCCCAAGAAGAACACTCTAAGGATGCACTTTTTTTTTTTTTAAGGGTGAACTGGATGTGCTTATGTTCTGTCCATCATGCCATCTGCAGTTAGAGAGAGCCCATCCTATGAGGGGGTTGCTACATGGAAATACAGTTTAAAAAGATCCTCCCA